TCCACATCTTATACTAGAGCCTCATCTTTCCTGAAGTTCTGATTCTACTCAGCATCCTTTTTCCTACCATTCTTGCACTTCAGAACCCTCACCAAGTGTGGTGCACACCTTTAATCCCAGTACTCAGGAGGCAGAGGCAGGCGGATCTCTGTGAGTATGAGGCCAACGTGTTCTACTAGTAAGTTCTGGAAGAGAAACACGGTGTCACCAAGAAAAAAAGGGAAGAAAATGTATAAAATGTATTGGCTCTTTGAAATATTATTTTCAGGTTGTTAGAGTGTTTCTTCCCATGCACAGTCATATTTTCTATCATGAAAAATTCACATCACTATTGCTCCCTCCAACTTCAGTAGCCCCATGTATAATTGACGTCTCATAGAGAGCCACAAGTCCACTGAGGCAACCACTTGTAGTAGATTACTTGTTGATAACATTCTGTGCTTGTATGCTATTAATCCTAAATTTCTAAGAAAAAAATATCTCATGTTGGTAGTACCAGGATTTTTCTTTTTGGTCACCAACCAGCTCCCATTATTAGTTTTGAATGCTCAGCCTAGCTTAGGGACATTTCTGGCTAGCTCTTTTAAATTAACCTGTATTTCTTTATCTACCTTTAGCCTTGGGCTTTCCTATGTTTCTTCGGTATATTGTCCTTTCACTGCTTCTCTGTGTCTGGCTGACCTTTGCCTGGCTTCTTGCTCTGGGCATCTCCCTTATTCTCTCCTTTTCTTCTTCTTCCTGGTTCTTCTTTTTTGAGCCTAGTTTTCTCCTTCTATTTATTCTCCCTGCCTGTAGTCCCACCTATCCTTTCTCTGCCTAGCTTTTGGCCATTTAGCTCTTTATTTGACCTCTCAGGTGCCTTAGGCAGGCAAGGTGAAACAAATACAGCACATCTTTTCACAATTAAACAAATGCAGCATAAACAAAAGTAATACAACTTTGCACAGTTATATTCTGCATCATAAACAAATGTAGCACTCCTTTGCATAGTTGAATAATATTGTACAACAGTTATGAGCATGTTTCACACGTGTCAGTTGATAGACTTGTGTGACCATATGTGTGATTGCTTGGCCAGGTGTCTTGTTACGGAATCTAGAGACAGCTACATTTCACTGTCATTATAGGGTACAAGTAAAAATGGATGAGTAGGTGCATATTAAACAAAAATTCCTTAATCAAAGGAATGGCATTTTAATAAAAGAATAAGTTTCTAGGCTGACAAGTTGGCAAAGCGCGTAAAGGGAATTGCTGCCAAGTCTGACTTTTATTCCTGAAACCCACAGGTAGAAGGAGGTAACTGACTCTTGAAAATTGTTCTTTACCTCCACATCTAAAACACACACACACACATGCACACTTATTTGCACACGTGTACACACACATACAGTAAATAGTACAAACACTTTTTTTAAAAAAGAGTAAGTTCCTAGTCTCTTAGCACTCCTCATCCAGAGAGCAAGTTGGTTGAGGACAATCGCATGTGCGTTTGGTTAGTCTCCTGGTAGACGCGTGTATAGATGACGAAAGAACACAAAGGACGATAGCTATAATATTGGAGTGGGTGGTAGGCAAAATGTCTGCAGGAAGGATTTCCTAATTTGAGCCATTAAGAGTTAAGGACGACGGAAGAAAGGAAAGCTGTTCTGAGTTGAAGAGTGGCAGGAGATAGAGGACACAGCACATTTAAAAAGCTGCAGATCGTGAGGGCCATAGGGGATGCTGCTGCACAGTGGTCAGCAGTGCTTGAAACAGCTTAGTCCGGAACCTACTGTGGCCATTTACTAATTTGTTATACCTAATTAAGAGCTTTATTTACTTTGAGACAAGCATAGGCTCAGCGTGGGAATAAAAGTGCTCACTACAGAGTTGCTTCAGTGTCTGTGTGAAATAACATTCATAAATCTGGGATGTAGTAGATAGTTAATGTTAGCAGCAGTTTTTATTGGTGTCCTGGCTGCTTTTAGAATTTGATTTTCCCTGTCAGCATTCTGTAATGAAGTGTTCTTGGTTGACTATTTAATTTGTGGTGCTTCAGATAGCAGCCCTCTTTTTTTATAATGGAGTTGTAAAGACAGGGTTTTAAAGCTAGCATAGATCAATTTGTTGGTGTGCTTATTTAAAAAGTGAACCTGAATTAAAGAGTTCATCTGTAATGGTGCTGTGACTGGCTGTACAGTGCAGCCTGATACGTCTCTTCCCATCCCAGAGTTCTCCTCATTAGTGTTGGAACTAGTTGCAGACATCACTGAAACAACAATCTATAGCACTTGCCACAATTTAGAGCAAAAATATTTTGTTAGCAGTTCCAAACTCTGAATAAATTGCTAAGTGCATTTTTAAAAATGTGCCTTTCACTGCTTGCCCTCTGGTGTAGGTACACGTCAGCCGCGTAGCTTGAAGAAGCTCAGTTACAGGTGGGCAGAAGGGACAGGGTAGCCTCAGAGAGCTCTTTAACATTGAGGATTTCTTATGCAAACAAACTTTTGTTAGTTTCCTCATTGAAATGTGAATAGATTTTGTAGTACTTACCCTTTAAGTCTGATCTGCTTCCGTTTACATAGCACTAAATTTACAATAATTGCTGCATGCATGCTTAGCATAGAGTGCTCAGCAAGGGACCTACCTGTTTTTTAGTGGGATAAGCAGATACTGAAAGAATTCCTTTTCTTATAGATAATTGTAACTTATTAAGTTCTGTGAGAAAAGAAGTCCAGAATGATTTATGAAGAGGTGAAGTTTTAGCTAAGAAAGGAAGGTTCAACAAAATACAGGCGATGATAGGATAAAATGGGTAAGAATGAGTCTTTGGAGCAGAGTAAACTAATACAAGACCCAAGTCCTGGTCATGAGAAGAAATGAAAGGGTATTTGCGAGGCATCTTCAAGGAACCCAGAGAGCAAGTGGCAAAGTAAGTTTTCTCCTCGAGTAATTTTGTCTTATTTTAAAGATACGTTCAAAAGAAAACTAGTTCTACAAACAAAGCTACTTTAGAATCAGCACAACTGTCTACTCAAGTAGAGTAGTAGCGATTTCGTCCCTTCTTTATTTGATTTTCTTCCTTTGAATCTGGCCTCCATGGAAATTGTGGCAGTATTTGATATGCTGGATCGCTTGATCAGGACTTTTCCTATTGAAAAATTAAAAGTCAAAGAGAATCTTCTCTTGTTTTCCTGGCTTTGAGTTTGTGTGGGTGTGTGCAGTGCAGCTGTGCTGTGGGTTTCTTGGCAGTCAGATGGGGCAGTTCTCCATGTAGTCATCCCAGAAGGAAGAAGCCTTCGTGTAAAAAGCCTACTTTGACTGGATTAGATTCAGCAGGAGGCATCCAGGCCTGAGCTCCTTGGCTGGTAGCCTCCTTTGTTTGGCTCCATGGATCCAGCAGCCTCAGGCCCATATACAGGCATTATGACAGAGCTCTATCAAGAGGAGAACATGAGAAACAGCTGTGTCTCAGTATAAAATCGCCACTTAGCAATACAGTTTTAAAATAAAGTTTTTATTGTTAATTATGATTCGTTCAGGTTTTTTCTTTAAAGAACACATTGTAAAAGGCATACTGTGAAAAAAAATTGCATGCAAATATGAATTCAGAATTTTCTGTAATTTATGAGAATGCTCTTTTCCTAGATCCGTTTGTGCACAGATGGATTCACAGCGCTGTGCTCAGTGCTTCCTTGTTGCCTTCAGCCCCATTTGCCCTCCTGTGTGGTCTGTAAACACCAAATCCTCAGATTAAATGCACATAATATGCAACTCTCCATTTCTCAAGCACACTCACAGCCTTCCCTTGGATAATAAACTCATTGTAGCCCATTACACACTGCAAGCAGACAAAAGCCTCTGACTTGATTCTTAGGGCTTTTGACTTCTTTATATCTTTGCTCTTAGTTGTTATTTTCAATGAAGTACAGAGTTTATGGTTAGTTCGTCTGTGTTCAAATCCAGCCTTTCCTAATGTGTTCTGACTTCCTGCCTATTTCTCAAAAAAACACAATACAACAAAACAAACACCCCCCAAAAAAACAAAAACCAAAAAAAAAAAAAAGCAAAGCAAAACAAAAAAAAAAAACCCAGCAGGACTTTGATGTTAGCATTTCTCTCTGGTTGGGGTATTTTTCTTTCAGATCTTCAGAATTTCTATGAGTTTTTATTTTAGGTTTTAGTTGATATAGTCAACTCCGAGGGCTTATCACTCCACCCTTTTTCTGTGTGTATGCACATGAGATTTCTCCCTTCCCCATTTTCCTTAATGACTAACATAATTTAAACTTTTCCTCCCCATCCTTTATTTCTAAGTTGTCCTACCGGAGTCTTTGGATTTTAGCTTCCACAGGGGCAAAGGTTTCCCACATCTTGTTCACAACCATATGCTGTGATGCTTAGGTTGGACCTGGTTTTTTGAGGGCATTTCATAGTATTGTATGCATTAATGGGCTAGGTGACGTGTCAGTCAAATCTGTATCTGTTAAGTTATCTATACCCAGAAAAATGGATTATTTCATCCTTTAAAAGCTCTGTATTGGGGCTGGAGAGATGGCTCAGTGGTTAAGAGCATTGCCTGCTCTTCCAAAGGTCCTGAGTTCAACTCCCAGCAACCTCATGGTGGCTCACAACCATCTGTAATGAGGTCTGGTGCCCTCTTCTGGCCTGCAGGCATACACACAGACAGAATATTGTATACATAATAAATAAATAAATATAAAAAAAAAGCTCTGTATTGATACTTATTTTAGAACTAGTTTTACTGCTATTTGCCTTAATTGTTTTTATATGTTTTATATGTTTTTATTCTGTTTTAGATTCTGTTTTTAGGAAAACAAGTAGAGGTCTCATTATTTTGAGTTTACCATAGAGTGCTAGATATTATTTTAGTACTGTTTATTGAATTTAATTGAAAATTTAATATTCCATCGTTGCTTCCCCTAAAGTTATATAGATGTGTACAGCTTTTAATTTTGAGAACAGTGTGCTTTAAAATATACCTCCTTTCTGTCTTGCAGTTCATAATTGGACAGTTGAGGATACCCTGCAGTGGTTGGTAGAATTTGTTGAACTTCCGCAATATGAGAAGAATTTTAGGGATAATAATGTGAAGGGAACAACACTTCCCAGGTCAGTGGTACCCAGATTGCTTTTTCACACATTGAGAAGTATATTTTAGATGACGCCAATTTTCAGTTCTGAACCTGCAGATAATTCTGGGGCTGATGGCATAAAAGAAATACTATAAATATATCTGTTTTAAGTATTTTATCTATTTTCTTGTTATAGTTTTATTCTTTGTGCATTCATATATATGTATGTGTATTTGGGGCATGAGTGTGGGTACATGTAGATGGCACATGTGTGTAGAAGTTAGAGAACGACCTTAGATGGTGTTCTGTAACTTGACCTTGTTTAAGACAGGGCCTCTTTGTTATCAGTGTTTGTGCATATCAGGTTAGCTGGCTCCCAAGCTTCTGAGTATACATGACTTAAACTTTTCCTTCTCCACCTTCTTTATTTCTAAGTTCAAGTGTCTCTTGCCTGTTCCTCCTAACTCACTGAAGGATTGCATATTGCATGAATCCCTCCACCCCTCAACCTACCCAAGAAGGCTTCTTATCTTCCATTTAGGTTTTCATCTTAAGAAGTTAAGCACTAAGAGTATAGCGGGAGCTTTTTCAACTACTGCTAACTAAAAGCTCTTAAAGTAAGAACTGTTTAACATCTGCTAAAAATGTTTAATAAGTCCCATAACTATTTTATTTTTCTTTGTGAAAATGCCACCATTAGGTAATTATTATGAAATACTGCATTTCATAAATTTCTCAATTGCAGTAAGTTATAATAGAAAGTAACTTTAGAAAAGAGCAGCTCATCATTATAGCAACCCAATTATCACCCCAAGGAAGGCTTCCAGTAGCTAAGTTTTATGAAAGGGTTTCTGAAGTGTGGTGTGCTTCATACAGATGAACTCTTGATTCAGATGAACTCTCAACAGTGATCACCAGGCTGTGAAGTAGTAAATATTGTTGCTTGTGTATTGAAATTTGTATATTAGAAATACTTTGTTTATTACATGAACTTTTTTCTGTGTACAGGATAGCAGTTCATGAAACTTCATTTATGATTTCCCAGTTGAAAATCAGCGACCGGAGTCACCGACAGAAACTTCAACTCAAAGCACTAGATGTGGTTTTGTTCGGGCCTTTGACACGTTAGTATCTCTTTCATTCAGTGTGATCCAGTAGTGTAGTCTGCCTATCCCTGTGTTGAGGAAGAAAACAGAATGGAGAAGCGCAGATCAACAAGAAGAGCCACTTGCTGACTGTGAAGGAAATATGGCTCATAGGATGAGCTTTTCTGCCATAAAAACATGAATTTTCAAAAGTAGTTACTAAGTAAAAGTAATTTTAAAATTTTCTCAGTAGTTATACATGTTCTTTCCAAGAAAGCAGTGTGCAGAAGGCCTTTAGGAAACATCACAGCTGAGCTAGCAATGATGATGGATCTTTTATACAAATGCTAATTTCATTATTAGCTTGCTTTGTGGACTTGTGTTTACTGCTAAACACCAAAAGAGGGTCATGCCTATCTTTTTTTGGGATATGAAGTTCTTGGTTCTTTTTTTTTTTAAATTTTATTTATTAAAAATTTCTTCCTCCTCTCCCTCCTCCATTTACTTCCCCCTCCCCCAACACCCCCTACTTCTCCCTCTCTAGTCCTAAGAGCAGTCAGGGTTCCCTGCCCTGTGGGAAGTCCAAGGTCCTCCCCCCTCCATCCAGGTCTAGGAAGATGAACATCCAAACTGGCTAGGCTCCCACAAAGTCAGTACATGCAGTAGGATCAAAACCCAGTCCCATTGTCCTTGGTTTCTCATCAGCCCTCATTGTCTGCCATGTTCAGAGAGTCCGGTTTGATCACATGCTCCATCAGTCCCAGTCCAGCTGGCCTTGGTGAGCTCCCATTAGATCAGTCCCACGGTCTCTGTGGGTGGATGCACCCCTCGTGATCCTGACTTCCTTGTTCATGTTCTCCCTCCTTCTGCTCTTCATTTGGACCTTGGGAGCTCATGGAAGGCCTGTAACGGGTAGACTGTACTTGTTCTTCAAGTGTGATCTTAGATTGTGAGCAACAGTATCACCTGGGGCTCTCCCTGGGCCTTCTGACTGTGCTTTCCTCTTTAGCGGAATGTTCAAGACATTTGTATAATAAATTTGTGATGCTTTGGAATCAGATTGTATTCTCTTTAATTTTATAATTCATTCAACTTAGTGAGCATTTTATTATTTGGTAAATGTTCTGGATCTCCCACTCCAGATAATTACATGGAAAGAAATCAATCAGGAACTAATTGCATATCTAACTTGACTTTAACATTATTTACTTTATCAACTTCTCTAAGAGAAGAAAATGTTGGAACTTTATACCCTGTTAATTTGAAATAAAATGATAATAGAATATAAAAAAGTAGTTACTAATGGAAAAATCTGTGAAACTGGCTAGGTGATAATTTAGATTTCTATATTAAAAATGTTGGAGTATTGTGACTGTTGAAGTTAATTCAGCTGGATGTTCACCCTTAAGAATATGGCAGTTTAACTATTCTGATGACACCAGTAGTAAGTCCTAACAGTGTCACTAGCCACCAGGAAAAGAATTTTGAAGATGTAGATGAGACGCAGAGATCCCTTGAAGCTGTAGAAGGAACACAAGTCTAGTAGGAACACCAGGTGGACACTGTTATTTGATTGATCTGAAAAGGAATGTGTAGGAAACTGTTATGACATATTTTTATTTAAAAATTTTAAGTTGGACAGGAATATTTTTTTCCCAGAAGGGAAGTTTAATATGTTTATTTAATAAAAATTTTCTAAAAATGTTTGGAGGAAGTGTTTGAACAGTATATATTTTAGAAGAATTCTGTTTTATTGTTTCAGAATCCTAAAAGGAATAACAAAATTAATACAAGAGTATGGCATTTTACAGAATACAGATTAGGAAACTAACGTTATTTCTCCCTGGATCCTGGAGTGTACCTGTTAACACTGATTGAGATGGGCTCTTATACTGAAGGCTGAAGGGAATGGTTCAGTGATCACCTGACTGATCATGATTCTGTTTTGGCTGGAGCTAAGTGAGCAGTTGTTAAAACAACCAGAATTCCTTTGTGAGCTGGTGGGCATTACAAAAGAGGAAGTAGAGAGCCCTGCTAAAAATGCCCAGGATCCCTGAACTTTGCTCCTTGCCCTAAGTCCTTGACTGAATCCACTACATGATTGTTTTGTGTGAAATTTTGTCTTTTTCCTAGGAGCTGATTAGTAAAAACAGGAATTAAAGGTAGAGATTTTTGTCTACATAGGAACAGGCTACTTCATAATCCAGAGAATATGGTATTATCAAATTGTTTTTAAAATATTGTTAAATGTGCACTTTAATAAGCAAACCAGCTAAGAAATTAATGATGTATTATCTTTTAAATATTTTTTTTGTTCTGGAATTATCATTTGACTGAGCAAGTACCATAGTGTAATGCCCAAGCTAGATTTTGTATAATAATTCATGTTGTCAAATGAAAATATACATTTTAAAGAAGTTTTCACTTAACTCCTTTCCAGTGTGTAATGCTTTGGAATTTGGGACTGGTCAATCTGCGTATTGTTATTCCTGGAGATTATATTTCAGACAGAGTCAGAATAGGGCTATGGTTGAAATGAAACCTGAGCTGAACCTCCCAATTGGAAGCAGAACTACAAGCAATCCCTTTTGAGACTGTAGCTTCCTGCAGTGCATGTTTTGCATTGCAGGTGAGGGTGTGTGCTTTGGAAATATGAAGCACTGAGACTTTCTAGCATAGAGACAGGCATGAATGAACCATGGATTTGCTAGCAACTTGAGGTTTCTGTTATGTTTCTCCATAGGAAGCATGCAGAATGTCTTGTGGCAGGAGCACTAAGTGTTTAGGCAATGACTTCGTTAGTTATTATTGCTGTGATGAAACACTATGACCAAAGCAACTGGGGAGGACAGTGTTTATTCAGCTTATGCTTCCATATCACTGTTCATCACTGAAGGAAGTCAGGACAGGAGCTCAAGCAGGGCAGGAACCTGGAGCTATGAGCTGACAAACAGGCTATGGAGGAGTGCTGCTCCTGGCTTGCTCTTCATGGCTTGCTTTTCATGGCTTGCTCATCTTGCTTTCTTATGGAACACAGGATAACCAGCCCAGGGATGACCCCAAATCAATTAATTGCTAATTAAGTAAATGCCATACAGACTTGTTTATAGCCTGATCTTATGAAGGAATTTTCTTAATTGAGGTTCCTTCCTTTCAGATGACTTAACTTGTGTCAAGATGACATAAAACTAGCCAGGACAGGCAATTTACCACTATAAATTGTATTTCTTTGGAACATTGAAACACTACATTATATTTTATTAGAAATCATATATCTATCTCTCTTTTTTTAAGATTATTTATTTGTTATGCATACAATGTTCCTCCTGCTTGTACAGCTCCATGCCAGAAGAGGCACCAGATCTCATTACAGATGGTTGTGAGCCACTACGTGGTTGCTGGGAACTGAACTCAGGACCTCTGGAAGAGTTGCCAGTGCTCTAAGGCTCTGAGCCATCTCTCCAGCCCTCTCTATCTCTCTTCTGATTAGTCCCTATAAAGTTAGTGTGCATTGACAGTCAGGGCGAGGTTAAAATGGTATTTGACTAGAGGTTTTTCTTTTATATATTCCTGAAGACAGCCCTGGTGCCTTTTGCCTTATATTGCAGTGCTGGGTTGACATTATTCTTTGGTAGGCTAGGGAATAAGGTCCTGCACTTTCCCTTATCCTAACCCCTGTATTTCAAACAAATGGCCACTTGACCCACATCACTAACTATGTACACGCAGGACTTCTCAGCTGTGTACATGGTGGAGTAGTGGATAATCTTTGTTACTAGTAGAGGGTATGGGAGAAGAGGCTTTCTGCCAGTTGATGGGTGCTCGGATATTCCTGATCTCTACTCTTGAGGTGCAAGTAACTTCCCTGTGGGTTAACAAAATATTGTCATGTCTGCTTGGTGGGTAGTATATCCCCCAAGGTAACGGACTGCTGATGAGTGTAATTTATTGTATAACTGCATGCTTGGGGAAGTGCCTTTTGGTGAATGATTGGTTATCCAATTTGTGTCTCAATGGTAGTGACCTGACCTGACTGAAGGAAATGGAAGCAAGTCATGGGCTCTCTTTACTCTGTGGGGACTTCTCCCCGCAGGGCATTAGAAAATGAGCTGATATGGCCATGTCCACTTTCACTGCCTTTTTGCAGGTCCCATATACTAGTTAGTATACTGATTGTTGGAAGGTAAGCCTACTGATTTTTGAAGGAGAGTTTTCATTTCATTAAGCTAGAATTTGTATCTGGGGAAAGGAGATATTTAGTTTTGTTTACTTTGGATATCTACTTTTCTGTATATTTATATTATGTTACACTCAAAAGTTAACTATCTGCTTTTGTTTTTGTAGGCCCACCTCATAACTGGATGAAGGATTTTATTCTCACTATTTCCATAGTAATTGGTGTTGGAGGGTGTTGGTTTGCTTACACACAAAATAAGACATCAAAGGAACATATTGCAAAAATGATGAAAGACCTAGAGAGTTTACAAACTGCAGAGCAAAGTCTCATGGACTTACAAGAGAGGTAACTAAACCATCTCACTCAGCCTGGGTGTGAGAATCCTAGCACTTCAGAGGGAGCGCTAAGATGATCCTCTCAGGAGCATCTTTGACTGTATAGCTAGTGACTTCAAGGTCAGCTTGTGCTACTTAAGAACTTGTCTCAAAAAAACCAAGTAAGACAAAATTTATTACTAAAACCAGTCTTAATTCTTGTTATACACATAAACAAATGTCTTATAAAAATGTTACCTGAGTGTATATGTAACCACTTATTTTAGATTAGCATTCATATTAGGTATAAATGCTCATTGCATTTTGTATTTTCAGAGAATTACAGTTTGGGAATAAATGTGTAGAAGATCAGAGACGTAAATCAGATATAGGTAGAATGTAGTTGAATTTTACTTTCAAAGATATTTAAATATTTATGTTTTTGGACATTATCTTTGCAGAAACTGTTTTCTGCAATCTTTGTCCTTCGAGCCCAAAATAACAGAAAATATCCTGATATATACCCTAATTTAAGATCAATAGAAATACTATTAAAAATTCTGATTTTTAAAAATATGATATTTTTTGAAGCAATGTTTCTTTTTTCATAAAAGTGAAATTTGGGGTACTTATATGAGGCATTTTTTAAAAAAAAGTTATTGTTCTCTAAGACTTGAAAAGGCACAGGAAGAAAACAGAACTGTTGCTGTAGAAAAGCAAAATCTAGAGCGAAAAATGATGGATGAAATCAACTATGCCAAGGAGGAGGCCTGTCGGCTGAGAGAGCTGAGGGAAGGCGCAGAGTGTGAGCTGAGCAGACGCCAGTATGCAGAACAGGAGCTGGAGCAGGTACTGTTCTTGAGAAAGGGTTTCTATTGCTACTCGAGGTGTAGGGCCAACATTTTCTTTTTCTTTTGTCCCATCTTCTGTATCTGCATTTATTTTCATTGTATACTTCCTCAGCTAATATTTTTTTTCAGCATTGGTGAATTCATATTTTAAAAATAACAAAATGGTAACTGAAAAGTGAAGATGCCAGCATGTTTCTTTTTCCATACAACATAAGGTCATGTTAGGTTTGTTGCCTAGAGTTTACTTGAGGTGTTTATTTAATATCCATAGTAAGTCTGAGTTTCTAATATCACCCAGTAAGAGACAGGACATCTAGTTTTGGGCTTCTGTAAAGTCAAGGACTGCAGATGTTAAGGATTTCAATTAGTCATTCCTTTGAAACCTGTTAGATGGCTTAGTAGATTGTTAGAATACAATCTACTAAAAATTTTCAAATTTATCTACCAAGGTGTCCTTTATGATGTCTGCTTCCTCCACTCAGGTACTCAAAATAGGATAGAGTAGGCTTTCAGACATTTCACAGTTCTTTGGAGAAGAGAGGGTTGTAGAAAAATCTCATGGCATGCATGTGTATCAGTTTCCTCTTCCTGCAGTATGGTAGTTTGAATGTAATTGATCCCCATAAGCTTATAGTGAGTGGCACTATTAGGAGGTGTGACTTTGTTAGAGAGTGTGTCACTGTGGCAGTGGAGTTGGAGGTCTCCTGTTCTCAAGCTATGCACAGTGAGACAGCTCACTTCCTGTTGCCAATGGGTCAAGATGTAGAATTCTTAGCTCCTTCTCCAGCTTTATGTCTGCCTGCATGCCACCATGTCCTGCTGTGTTGATAATGGACTGAACCTCTGAAGCTGTAAGCCAGCCCCAATGAAATGTTTTCCTTTATAAGAGTTGCTATGGTCTTGGTGTCTCTTCACAGCAATAGAAACTCTATCTAAGACACGCAGAGATAAATTACTACAAGCTTGGTGGCATAATGAAATGTAGATTTATTATTACTCTACAATGTCTGAAGCCTTATTCTAGTGGAGCCGGTATGGAGGATCTGTTTCTTTTCCTTTTCCATTCTAGAGGCCATGAATTTCTTGTTCTGTGGCCCTTCCTTCACCTTGAGAACACATTCTGCTAACCTCTATGTCTATAATGCCATATCATTTTTCTGACTTGGCCATTTATTGATTGAAAAACTAAGAAACAAAATGAGGATTGGGAGACTTGTTTAGAATTATTCAATTACAAAGCAGGGACATGAACCTAAGTATTCTACCTCTCACTTTGCATACCATGTGTGCTGCTTTCTCTCATTCAATTGTCAAGTAAAAGATCAGAATCATATGATAAGTCTTAATCAATCTATGGCTAAGTAAGTGTACATTGAATATCACTGTTTTCTTCTCTTGGAGAATTTGACTGAACTTTTTTCTGCCATTGATTATACTTCTCTCTTGAAAAAACATTTTAATTCTCTTTGACTTAAGTTCATTAAGTTTGGGTCTGGTTAATTTTGGTATATGATTTTTTTATTTGTAAGTTTTTATATAATAAAATTTATTAAAATATACTTTAAAACTGCTAAAATTGACTCGTAGACATACTTTGTAGTTATGTCCAGCTTCCTGGCAAATCTTTTCTGTACAGGATATAGGAAAGAGTCAAGAAGTTAACAGTAAAGGCCTAAACAAAATTATAGTGTGTCCAAGAACTGGGTATGCCCTTCAGTTTCTTTTGAGAACTCCTGGCCTGACCCCACCAAGATATCTGACTTTCGGCTTGTTCTAGGATGACCGAAAACTTATTAGCTAATTATCTAACTTTGCCTGTAAGAAATAACTAATCCAAAAAAAAAAAAACAAATAATAATAATTTTTCTTTTTATTAGCTTATATTAATTACTCTCAACAGTAGATTTCATTATGGCATTCTCATACAGATATAACATATTTTTATTTTAAATCATTTTTTTGAAACAATCTTTTTCTCATTTTATATACCTATCCCAGTCCCACTCTCTCCCCTCCTCCTGCTCCCCTTCTTCCACCTACCCATCCCCCATCCACTCCTCAGGGTAAGGAAGGCTTCCCATGGGAAGTCAACAAAATCTGACACATCCTTTTGAGGCAGGCCCAAGCCCCTCCCCTCTATATTTAGGCTGAGCAAGGTATCCTGTTGTAATAGGAGCGGCGGGGCTGCGTCCCCGGCACCCAGCTGCCCACATGGCTAGCTCTAGCTTATGCCCCGAAATAATTACACGGAAACTGTATTCTTTTAAACACCGCTTGGCCCATTATATCTAGCCTTTTCTTGGCTAACTCTTGCACCTGGACTAGCCCATTTCTTATAATCTGTGTAGCCCACGAGCTGGCTTACCAGGAATGATCTTAACCTGCGTCTGCCAGGAGTGGGAGAATCATGGCGACTCACTGACTCGGCTTCTTTCTCCCAGCATTCTGTTCTGTTTACTCCACCCACCTATGTTTTAACCTATGAGGGCCAAGCAGTTTCTTTATTGCTTAACCAATGAAATCAACAGCTTGATATATGACACTCCCACATCAGTATCCCTCCAAAAAGAATGGGCTCCAGAAAGCCCGTTCAATCACTAGGGATAAATCCTGGTCCCATTGCCAGTAGCTGCAAAGACTGCCCCAACCACACATCTGTCACCCACATTTAGAGAGCCTAGTTTGGTCCTATGCAGGTTCCCCTGCTGTCAGTCCAGAGTCAGTGATCTCCTACTAGCTCAGGTCAGCTGTTTCTGTGGGTGTCACCATCATGGTCTTGACCCCTTTGCTTGTATTATGCCTCCACCCTCTCTTGGACTGGTCTCCGGAAGCTCGGCCCAGTGCTTAGCTGTGAATCTCTGCATCTGCTTCCATCAGTTGCTGGATGAAGGTTCTATGATGACAGTTAAGGTAGTCATCAATCTGATTACAGGGGAAGGCCAGTTAAGGCACCTTCTTCACTATTGCTTAGGGTCTTAGCTGGGGTCATCCTTGTGGATTCCTGGCAATTTCCCTAGTGCCTTGTTTTACGCTAGCCCCATAATGGCTCCCTCAGTGAAGATATCTCTTTCCTTGCTTCCCCTCTTTATCCTTTCCCCATCTTGATCATCCAGTTCTCTCATGTTTTCCTCCCCACTCCCCTTTTCCGCTCCCCCTTCCCTTCTGCCCCCCCCCCAATGCTCCCAATTTTCTCAGGTCATCTTGTCTATTTCCCCTTTGTCACATTCCTCCCCACTTCTGTTCCTCTCCTACTGATCCCTTCTTCCCATCTAGTCCTTCTGCTTTCATGTCTTTTCACTTATTTATTTTAATGATCCATGAGTTGTATTCCACTCCTTTATAGAGTCCTTGATGGGGGAGTATTTACAGAAGCATGGACTTAGCAGTGGCCGCTAAAGAAATGTCAAAAGACTAAAGAAAATGTCTTTTCTTCCCTAAATGAACATTAACTGCCTTAATAATAGTGTTTGATAAGTAACTGCCTTTCATTTTATCTCTGGTTTGGATACAGGGAGCTTTTCATGCTTTTTGTATACCCTAAGGTCACTGCAATTTGATGTACCAGTTGTGCTTGTATAAACATAATCCTCATGTCATCCTGAGTCAAAGATGCCTTCAAGGAAAGCAGTAGGTCTTTGAGGAAGAACTCTGCCCAACATGATTTTATTGATAAGAAATACCACCTTATGAGTATTCAGTGTATAGAAGCTCTTGGTTATGCTATCAGTGGCTTTAACTTTTAGCAGTTAATGCTATCTGAGCATTAACCCTTGTGTTGTGCTGCATAGAGAAGTTTATATTAGGGAGGTTAAGTAGCTTATGTCACACAGCTGTTATTCAGCAAAGGCAAGATTTTGTGTGTCCTATTCCAAGTCTGTATTTTCCTATACTGCTGTTCAGTGCTTCATTTACTGAGGTAATTAAAGTGGGAAATTAATGTATGTATATACATTACATATGTTACCCTACAATCCCATATAGTTTGAAACATATTTTTTTCCTAATGAAGATACTTTCAAAAGTGATCATATGCTATTATTTTTCTAAATGAAGACTTTTGATTAACTAATATTACCACTTTATATTTTATGTGATTAAAATAGTTTCCACATCGTGGTTTTTTTTTGCTCCTAAAAATCTCATGTTATCAGGCTAAGTCGCAGACAGTGAGTGAGCCTCAGAAGTGTGAATCTTGCCAAAGCTTCATAGACTTATACAGTCAAATCCGGTCTAGAAGCCAGGTTTGAAGTGTATGGGCTGTTTATTTCTGACATGTTTCTACTTCCTGCTCTTTAGTTTCTAATGTGCCAGAATTGCAGAGTTTTCAGATCTGTGATTCATTTGTAAACGCTCTTAGCTAATTTGACTTTGACCATCCTCATGGCTAACAATGTAACTCAAACTGAAGGTTAAGATTTCAATCAAATAACAAAGTTATGAATAATAGCTGTTGAACAGTTGCTAATATTGGATGGTCATAAATTTCACTGAGACATTAACAGTTAATTTGAGCATTGCTCAGCCTCAATTTATGCCCAAAATACATAGTTTCGGTGCAAAATCATGGAGCTAAAATAAGAGAAATAAACTTATGAGAAATATAGTATTATATAGAATATCATGAAGAAAAATTCTGTGTTTAATATCCTGAACATTTAAATTACACTGGATTTTTAGTTTCAAAGTCTTGTGAGAGGAAAGACCTGCTGCAGTCTGCTTATGGTGTTTTGCAGGATCACGTGTTGCAGGGCCTGGCCTTGAGTTCTTTCTTCCTGAGAGATTAGCAGGGACGCCACACAGCTTAGCCGACCTTCTTACTAAGTTCACATTGTCCCATATATGTTACACAATGAATCACGCCAGGCGAGTGTTGCCTTAGAAGTTGCTCCTACTGAAAAAGCCTTTTTTTAAAGTCCTACATTACAACTCTTTCAGTTTTTTTAATTTTAATTTTTTTTTTTACTTATAGACTTGTGTCATGTTGTGATTTCTTTTTAATTTTGGAGTTTTAAAATATTTTTCCACACTGCTGAACAGCTGTTCTATTTCTTTATCAAAAGTTTGTGTAGTCCTCTTCTTAGTTTATTCTGGCAAACAGAAAAGTTTATTTAAATAAGTTGGGTTTGTTCAGATCAAACATTCCTCTGCACTTTAGTTTAGGAATTGGAGCTTCAGTTACCTTAGTTAGCTTGTGAGAGCATTTGCCCTGCAGCTATGGGTCGGGTACCAGAAGCCCCGTGCTCCACAGTGCACCCACGGCTTTGTGGGACTGCTTTCAGTTACACACACCAGTCCCACCATAGGTCACCTCACATCTTCTAGTTTGTACACTGTCTAGATTTACAAGTAAGTTCTAAGAACAGATTCTCTTCCTTCTGTGTCACTTTGTTAGTGAGGCTTTTCTTTAGATACTTCTTCCTTAGCTTTTATTATACTTAATACCTCAGACATCTTATTATGTTTATTGTCATTGTTGTTTAATTGGCTGGCCCCCTTAAATGGCATGTGGGAGAAATACTTCATACTTACAGGGTAGGCAATACATAATTTCTCATAGGGAAAATCAAGTATATTCTTGACCAGAACTGATTCTCTTGACGTTTTCACAGTCTATTCATGTCAACCTCTGCTTGCTGTCTGGGGACAGTGGTGGAGATAGAAAGGGTGGAGCAAACCACAGTAGGAGAAGCGCGAGAGATAACAGACAGTATCAGGAAATGAGAAGTAGGAAGTCCACTGGGTTCCAGGCATTGCTTCCTATCCTAGGTAACAAAAAAAAAAAAAAATGCGTTGTGAGGAAAGTGTGATCAGTAATTTGTATAATCCCTAGATTTTTTTCCTCTGTGCCTTATTTCTTTTAACTTGACAGCTATAAAATACAAAAACTAAATATTTCAACTTTTTATATGTGTGTGGACTCCTGCCCTTATCTAACTTGTGACTTTTTAGCTTTGCTTAGTAAATTTAGAATGCCATTAAAGCCAGTTACAGTTTTGATATAAAAAGTACATTTAGATTCAGTGACTTTAAAAGGTTTTTGTAAAATCCATAATTGAATTGGTTTTTCTTTTTGTTTTGGTATCAACATTTATTTCAGTCTTTTCTTCCTTTGTGGCTTTTTTCCCTTTGTCCTTCCAGGTCCGCATGGCTCTAAAAAAGGCTGAAAAGGAGTTTGAGATGAGAAGCAGCTGGTCTGTTCCCGATGCGCTTCAGAAATGGCTTCAGCTAACACATGAAGTTGAAGTACAGTACTACAATATTAAGAGACAGAATGCTGAGATGCAGCTAGCCATTGCTAAGGATGAGGTATTATCTGATTTCATGATTAATTGGAATACTAAAACTTCAGTAGAAGCCTTCTTGAAGGTTCTTTTTTTAAAATTAGAGTTTGCCATATAAATAAATTCTTGTAATTAAATAATTTAAAGTAAAATTATTCTCTCTAGAGAAGTGCATGGATAGCTTGCAAAATTATCTTAGTGTCCTTGAGAAATTGTCATTGCTGTCACTATTGTAAACGTTTTATACAGAGCTTTTCTCCTCCAGGTTGCTGCCTCCTATCTGATGCAGGTTAGTAGTTCCTAGACACTCGTGTTTGCTGTTATTAAATTGTGTGGAATAAGAGTAAGCCTTAATCTGAATTCTGGAAAAGTGCATAGTTCTCACTAACCTTCATTGCAATAGGGTTTGGTTAATGTTCTTTATTAGTTCTAATAGAAGATTCTGTTTTTTCTCAGCTATAGAAATAAGAGAAACAGTACTCTAGAACAAAGCTTTAAATGTCTTTGACTTAGGAAAGCATGCTTTCTTTCTCATCTGTTTTCTTATTTTGAAAATATGTCTGTATCTTGGCTAATAACTTTCTACTGGTTTTATGATTATTAATACAGTCAAAACCAAAATCAACTTTATTAGTTTGTAAATAGTAATTTTCCTAAACCTAGCTTCATTTTTATCCTTTTGGGTTTTCAGGCAGAAAAAATTAAAAAGAAGAGAAGCACAGTCTTTGGGACCCTGCATGTTGCACATAGCTCCTCCCTGGATGAAGTAGACCACAAGATTCTGGAAGCCAAGTGAGAATGCTCTTTACCAGTCTGTCTGTCCGTCTACAGTGTTGAGCTGTGTACTGTGTAGATAATGTATATTTAATTAGAGAAGCAGACACAGTGGCATAACTTAGACTAATTCTGAAACTGGATGATTTTTTCTTGAGATCAGCCAATTTCCATGGGTTTCTTCCTGTCATTGCCTTTATTTCAATGTCATATTCAAGACTTCAGTGCAATAAGTAATTTATCTATTGACCTTTCAGGAAAGCACTCTCTGAGCTGACAACGTGTTTGCGAGAGCGGCTTTTTCGTTGGCAGCAGATTGAGAAGATCTGTGGCTTTCAGATAGCTCACAACTCTGGGCTCCCCAGTCTCACCTCCTCTCTGTACTCTGACCACAGCTGGGTGGTGATGCCTAGAGTCTCCATTCCACCCTACCCTATTGCTGGAGGCGTGGATGACTTAGATGAAGACACACCCCCAATAGTGTCACAGTTCCCAGGTATGTGAGTTCAGCAAAGAAGTTACTAACATGCTTTTTTTAGGAATGATGTACTTTGAAGTCTATGGGGGAAATGTACTCTTTTTTACTTCTTTTTAATATTTATTTTACTCTTTGAGAATACTATATATTCTCATATGTATTCGTTATATATGTGGTATGTATTCTATTTTAGAAATACACATTATCAAGAAGCATGACTAGTTGATTAATTTGCATATTTTAGCACATATTTTTATTTCAGCAGTTGTCATATAGAACTCATTGTAGGATTTTGCTTTTAAACCATTACTAATCATTAAATTGAAATGGGAGAATTACATAAAAAGGATTGGATACAACAATGACTGCCAGTGGTTATGTAAATGAAATGCTGAACTTGGATAGAAAACTACAGTAGAAAGAAAGAGTAAGGCAAGGTTTTGGAAGCCTGGGTTTGAGTGCTAACTCTGCTATAGTCAGCTCTTGACTCTTTGGTCAGCTTATGATTTGTTCCATTCCCAAGACTTTTTTTGTAAGTATTTTTGTTTTGCTTTTCAATGTGTTCTTTTATTAGTAGTGTTACCCTGCTCTGTTTATATCATGAAGTACTGAATTTATTTGCCTTTAACAAAAACTGTGCTTGTTTATAAAACTTAGATGTGATATGTATATACATTTATATAAGACATTGTATATACATATAAATAAGTAAGACGTTTTCTAGTTGTTTTAAGATGACTCAGGGTGGCCTCGAGCTCTACCCCTCTGAGTATTAGGATTATATATGTGTGCAAGCATGTTTCTTTGCTAGAATGTAGCTCTTTCCAAAGGAAGCTTTTGTTTGTATTAGATTGCTTAGTTGTATGTTATGTTTTTGAGTTTTACTTTATGAAAAAACATTTTGGTAAGATAAAATTTGAATGCTTTAACTTTTGACTTTTCTGCAAAGCTACAGATGTTTTTAATTTGCAATTTTTATATTAGAAATTATTTGTTAAATTCTTTATTCTTATTACTTCTTGCCTGGTCCATTTTCCCAGTATTTGTGACTTTTTACAGTGTCAATAGAACAAAGTTTTGAAAAATGGACAAGTGTATTAGTTTAGTCCTTGCTTAACTGAAAACTTAAAATTTTACGTTTTGAGAGCAATCGAGTCATCGTGCCTACGTAAGTTTAGTTTTGACTTTTTCTGTTTAACTGTTACAGCTTTCCTGAAACTGCTGGAATAGTTCTGATTGAGTAAAACACTTTCTACCAAACCAAACTTTGATTTGCCAGCTAACTCTCAGCCATTGACCATGCTTCTGTCATTTCTCTGCCTTTAATCCTGTTTATGGTGCAGTGAAGTGAGGAAGCAGTAGTCATGATTAGAGCAGAGCGGGTGAGAGGAACAGTTGGGCTGCGAGGTGTTGATAGCTGCAGCTGCATCGGACTTGTGATTTGAATTAGTTTATTCTATTTATTTGTTTATTTGTATGTATATATGCCCTAATATAACACTGATTCATAAATAATATATGTATTTATTTAAATACTAAACCTATTAAAATAGCTTTTCTTTAAAATATGTAATTTTTATGAATAATATTGTACTTGATGATGATCCACTATTAATTATTATAATTTTTGTTGTTGTTATTGCCTGTTTTAGAAACACTTAAGAGTTTTGACGTGGCAAAACTTTTTGTTTCATTAAAAGAAAATACTTATACTAAGTGTGAATAATTTGCATATGTTTTAAATAATGTGATATTATACGTGGACATTTATAATTATAAATATGAAAACGTACGAGAGCTGGTTTGAAATTTAACAGAAAGTTTTAGAAATTAATCTGATTGCTGATAGGTTTAGAGAGCTGTGCCTCCACCTAGTGGCCACACAGTGGAACTCCATTTTGCTTTGTTAAAAGCTCCTAAATTCTGGACCTTGTAAAAACAAAGGCTGTGTTTATTAGATGCCATAAGAATGGCGTCTAAGGTAGGATGAAGGTGCTTCCTTTAGATACCTCTTTGGTGGTCTCTATTTTGTGTTAGTTGTGTTTGAAATTATTATTTCTGGAAGTATGCTTGTTGTATGAAAAGAGCAAAGTAAAAGATTCTAATACGTGAATCTTTGTAATTCTGAGGAAAATTCAGAAACTGTTAGTTGATACATTTATTGTGAGTAGAAGAATAGAGAATAGAATTACTCCTCCTCCTTCAGAAGTAAATTTGGGAATTGTGTGGTATTATTTCCTTTATATTTTGGGGATATTTAGTGCAGATATTGAACCTGCCTGTTGATCTATTTTATCCCAGGACTCTTAATTGTGCTTTGTTTTTACACTCTTCTCCTCTCCCCTCCCCCTTCTCTCTCCCTCTGGACAACCAGGGTGCCCCATAACTTGAACTTCAGTGACTCGTCATTTGCATGTTAGTGCTCTCTGGTGCCCTCTGAAGTGCAAACTGTCAGAATCTTCACTTTTGTTATCTTTTTGGCCTTAATTTAAATATACGTCTCTGTTTATCATTTTTTTTTATTTTTCTTTTCTCCTTTTTGCTCTTTCTTGAAAGCATAGTATTGATTAGTATTTTGTTAAGCAAATTAGAAGTGAGAAATTCTGTCTTTGGCAGAAAGTGTCTGAACGTTTCCTGGGAAATAATAGTTTAACTAGATAACAGTTTGATTCCTTATTTTCTCCATTGTGCTTTGAGGTTGTTGGTGAGAAGTTTGTCCTCAATCAAATTGTAAGAGTTTCTGTTTAGATAATATATAATTTCTGATACTAGGAGAATTATTTCATTTCTTGTTCTGTGGCTTACCATAATATGATTGGCAAGTCAAGATATCAGAATATACAGGAAGGCAAAGAAGAGGTCAAAACTCTTGATTGGTCAAGGGGCAGATGAGTCTTAGAAGTGAAATGATTCACATTGATGATGAGTGGGTGGTTTGGCTAGAGCAAGAATGACTGACAGGGAAGAAAGCATTGGCATGCAGTCTGAGGATTCGATTGTCTAATAGCATGAGCTTCAGAAAGAACCCATTTTATAAAGGGTGCAGGCATAAAGTATGCCAGCCAGCACCTTCTGTCCTGCTGCTGTCACTGAGGAATGTAATGTGCACAAAGGTGTTCTTGGGCAGCTTTAGCATAGGGAAAGAAACGGAACGAATCTGTTTGCTCCACATGCAAGGGTCTAGCTTGCGGTAAACGCAGGGAGATCTAAGACAGAGACTTAGTCCTTGAGGATCTGTGTTTAGGAAGCAAGCTTTGGTTTCAGCTGAGAGACTGTCTGTACAATCTTTATTTAAACCTTCTTAAAGGTCAAACATGTGATATGTCAAAGACTATCCATTGATACTTTATACTATTTTTTCCTTCTGCTTCAGTATAGTGTTCACAAATAGTTTATCATTCCTTATAAAGAGGCTATGTTGATTTTAAATTTAAATGTTATTTTGAATAAAGTTTTTTAAGTCTTTGTTTTTAGTAGTATCAGATTTTTACAGTAAGACTACATTAATGTGCATTTTATTTTAGTTTTACCTGTTATCATTTTTATTATATTTGCATTAATTTTTTTGTTGTTTAATTTTTCCATAGGTGGTAGAGAATGGCAGTTGTTATATAGTTACATGAATAAACATTAAATCTGATATTTTACTGTATTAGTTCTTGTGTACATATTTGTAAGAAGACAGTTAAGGGGCAAGGGACATTGGTGGTTATGAGTGTTTCCATTTGCTTATGTTTTTCAGGGACCGTGTCTAAACCTGCTGGGTCTTTAGCCCGAAGCAGTAGTTTATGCCGCTCTCGTCGCAGCGTTGTGCCATCCTCCCCACAGTCCCAGCGAGCTCAGCTTCCTCCCCATGCTCCGCTGGTATCCCACCCTCGGCTTCCTCACCATGCCCAGCATCCCCAGCACTCATTACCTTCCCCAGATCCAGACATCCTGTCCGTGTCAAGTTGCCCTGCTCTGTATCGGAACGAAGAGGAGGAGGAGGCCATCTACTTCACTGCTGAAAAGCAATGGTATTGGCTGTTAATAACTGCGGAGGATGGGGCTAAGCGTATGATAGTGGTATTGGCTGTTAATAACTGCGGAGGATGGGGCTAAGCGTATGATAATGGTATTGGCTGTTAATAACTGCGGAGGGTGGGGCTAAGCGTATGGTAATGGCAGCAGTGCTGCAGTGTATCCTGTGTTACGCAAGCTTTCACAGACTCAGTGGCTTCACATGACACCTATTTATGGACACTCCAGTTCTGTACATCTGAAGTGCACGTCTAGGCTGACTGGTTTCCTGCTCGGGCTATCAGAGGCTAAAGTCAAGGTGCTGGCTGGCCTAAGTTCTTTCTCATGTGGAATCTGGAGTGCCCTTTGAATCTCATGTGTTTGTGGCAGAATTCAGTTTGTGGGTATCTTGCTAAGGTCTTGTTTCTGTGTTGTTCTAAGCACAGGATCTGGTTGCTTTCAGTTTCTAAAGACCACCCACCTGTCCTTATTGGGTGACCTAATATTTAATGCTGGTAGCAGACACTTGCCTTGTGTATTTCCTGCCTTTGCTGAGCTGCTTGCCTGAATAATAATCTTTATGAATATTAGTGACTCTGGTGCCTTAGTATGTGTTTCATCTTCGGACCCCTGGGTGACCTGTGAAGTTCCAGAACTCAGTGGAGATGCTCTCTTGTCACTGGGCTGCCGGAGCTTTTTGAGGTGTAACTGCATTGATGCTAACAAATGCAGTCGGCTCGGGTCTCCAACCATAGACTTGTCAAGTGAAAATATGTATGTAAAATATGACATCTTGGACTTGAGTAAACCTGCATATAAAGAGACATCAATATGATTGAAATTTCAAAATAATTTGTTGCTTACTAGCATGTAGGCAGTATCGTAATCTCAGTGCTCAGAAAGATGTTGAGAACTTAATGGAGAGAATGATAAAAGTAAATTAAATTCATTACTTAATTTCTCTGCCACAGTGAGTATAGCTGCATGCATTCCATTCTGTCTTAAGGGCACCAGCATGCCATGAGGTCTGTTACTGTGGGGAGCTCACTTCTAATCTGTATTCCTCTTCACAAGCAGTACTGCTTGTGACAGAAAAACTGCTGATTTTGCCATATGTCAGCACCGATCATGGTGGTCAGGGTGGTTCCTAGCTATCACATGGTGATATTACCGTCAGATCACTTGTCACTCATCATCATTTCGCTGCCTAGTAAAAGTTATTTTTTAATTAGTAGATAATCTCTGAAGCTTGTTCCTAAGGAAATAATTAGGGTTAGAAGTTTCCAGTAGAGAATTCAGTGCTCCTTTCCCTGAGGAGCCTGTTATAATTAGCATTTTATGTGTCTTTAGTATAAGCACAGTCACAAACAGTGTGACTTCACTCTCAGATTTTTCTGTGGCTTCTGGAAAGTGTGGGGAGCTGTCCTGCCCCACAGAACCTTTCCACCTTGGGAATGCTAGGCTCTTGTTTCACATGCCATGTCAAAACTTCACAGCTGCCTCCTAAGTATGAGAGGAATCTGACGTCAGAACACCTGGGCTGCTTTATTCATGATGGCTGTCTGCTGTGAAGCCAGCCTTCTACACAGTATACACATGCACACCCAGCTAGCCCTCACCCACGGATGTCTTTTTTTTCTTTTTAAACATATATCTTTTCATAAAACATACATGTGTTTGCTTACATGTTACCACAGGGAAAATTATTTTAAAAATTCATGTAAATGGTATATAGGTTAAGTTCAATTCCAAAGGAAACATGTGCTACAAAGAATATGCATTTAAAAATACATTATTTTTAATTTGTGCAGTACCTGGGTGCAGATCTGATCAGTTGTGTGGAAGAAGCAGTATATTTGATTAGTGCTCATTTTTGAATTAGAATGATAGAAGTAGATAGAACATTAAAGATAAATTAAAATCTCTTACTTTAGCATATAAGAAAACTGAGACCTAGAGAAAATAGATGATTTGTGTGAAGTTGACAACTGAAAACAACAGGACTAGGGGAGGAGGGAGGAGCCACGTCTCCTGAGATTGGTGGTTCTTTTCACATTACACCTTTATGAGGCTAGGAGATAATGTTTCTTATGGAAGGTTGTATGAAGAAAATCTTTAAGGTTAGTAAGATAGTTCAGAAGGTAAAGGCACTTGCTGCCTAGCCTGGTTGCCTTGATTCACTTCCCAGGATCCACACTGTTTATAAAAAAACAAGTCCTGTAAGCTGTTCTCTGACCTCCACATTTGAGCCATGGATATATGTATATATAAAATAAATAAATGTACATACATACAATATACCCTTTACATATATAGTATGAGTAAAATAAAAAGTATGTAAGTTCAGCAATCCAATGTATATCTAAAATAATTGAAATAATTCTGACAATTGAATAATTGTCAGAAGTAAGCAAGTATAAATATGAAAATGGTAGTAGTCATAGACCAGTCACTGTAAGAGATTGTTTAATTCTATAAATAATGAGTTTAGTCCTTGCTGTGTCTTGTATACTTGATACCTTGAGCTCCCAAGGCAAGTAAGATGACCCTAGGCTAGCTCCAGCTGGAAGATCATTATCCTGTGAGGTTTTACTTTGCTGTTCTGTCTTTAGCCCTGTTTTTTTCTGATTTTGTTTCCTCAATTTTACCTTGACTTTTCCTTTTATTCTTAAAGAACTCTTTAATGGAGTTCTACTAAGTGCATGCAGAAACCAATTAGAAATAGTTCCTCTTCTTCAGGATTTCATTCATTCTTCATTCAGTACATGTTTAGTGATCTCACTGTGGGGTTGCCATGAATTACAATGCAGAGAATACAATTATTAATAAGATCTCCTAGACTTAATAGGGTTTTTTCTTTTGAAGTTAGTAGAAAATACCATTTTTGCTACTAGGCCATGATAGATGATAAGCAAAGGAAATGTCATTTTATAATTTTATATAGGATAGTTAGGGAAGGCCTCTCTGGGTGGGTAGTAGTTATCTAAAGTATAGGAAGAAGCCAGTCAGAGCAATGGGAGGGTTATATTCGAGCAGAAGAAACAGTGCAGAGTCCTGAGGAAGTCTGCAGGTTGGTGTGGTGAAGGAACAGGAAGGGTGTTCTGGAACAGAGGGAGGGAGTATGGTTGGAGAGATAGCCAGGGGCTCGATAGATGTGCAGGGCCTTTGGATTATATCTGAGGGAGCACAGTGGAAAGTCATGAGCAAGTGAGTGATGTGGTGACTGAGCTTTTAGGGTTACTTCAGTGGCTGTATAGAAAAGTTGCTGAAAGGGAGACACCAGAATAGAAGCCGAGAAGCTAATGAGGAAGTCATGGAGTCATTTAGGGCAAGTTTGTGGTGGTTCTAACAAGGAACATGGCTTTGTGATATTTCAGAGGAGGCTAGTCGTCTTGATGGTGACTCTTAGGAACTTTAGTGTTCTGTTTTATTTATCTTCTTTTTTACTATAGACAAAGTGGGGAAACATTCACAGATTATTCTGTAAAAACTTACTCAATGTCCCTTCTTGGAAAATAGCATCATATGTTTGCCTTTTATCTCCTATCCGTTCCAGTGTACCTTAGCAGATTGTCTCCACGAAACTTGGTAGAGCTTTTATTTTAGTGCTGTGTTCATGTTTTACTTCCTCAGAAAGTTATATTTCCTCAAGTTCATAACTAAACACTAAAATAGTGATTAAAACTCCATCTTTCAAACATATACTTCAGTTCTATGATTCAGAAGGAAAAAGAGTATTGAAGGAAAGCAAAAGTCAGAAGGGCTTAGGAAAACTCAAAATTCACATGTTAGAAGGCATAATTTAATTAAATTATGTTGTTTGATTGTTATAATTTATCTCAAAACTAAACAAGTTTGGGGCTAGGGAGAGGATCAGTCAATGCATGCAGTGTCTGCTAATGAGCATTAGAAGCCGAGTTTGGGTCCCTGTAACCTGTGTAAATGTAAGGTACATGCCACACTTTGTCTAACTCCAGCAGGATAGAGATGGGAGCAAGCAGATCTCTAGTCTATTCGCCAGTCAGCCCACCTGAATTAATGAGTTCCAGATTTGGTGAGAGATCTTGTCTCAAAAAATAACATGATGGCAGTCAAGAAAGATAGTCCATGTTGGTCTGTAGTCCACACATGCACACATGCACACATGCAGATATCGACACAAATACATATATGTGTGTGTGTGTGTGTGTGTGTGTCTCCTCTCTCTTTCTCTGTTTCTCTTTGTTACACACACATATGCACATGGAAATAATATGCTATAGTACAAGAAAACTTTTCAATTTTATCTCTACATATAATTATAGCATATCTCCTTTAGTAATTGGATTTTAGTGAATGGAAGTTGACTTGACTAGAATGTTCACTGTTACTCTTATGAACATCTTGATCTAAGTGTTCTCCCTTTGTCTTCTTCAGGGAAGTACAGGACACAGCTTCAGAGTGTGACTCCTTAAACTCCTCCATTGGGAGGAAACAGTCTCCCCCTTCAAGCCTTGAGATATACCAAACATTGTCTTCTCGAAAGGTATCAAGAGATGAGCTTTCCCTGGAGGATTCCTCCAGGGGAGATTCGCCAGTAACAGCAGATGTCTCCCGGGGCTCCCCTGAGTGTGTGGGTCTGACAGAAACCAAGAGCATGATCTTCAGTCCTGCCAGCAAAGTGTACAATGGCATCTTGGAGAAATCCTGTAGCATGAACCAACTTTCTAGTGGCATCCCGGTGCCTAAACCTCGACACACATCATGTTCCTCAGCTGGCAATGACAGCAAGCCAGTTCAGGAAGTCTCGAATGTTTCCAGAATCAGCAGCATCCCACATGACCTTTGTCACAATGGCGAGAAAAGCAAAAAGCCATCAAAAATCAAAAGCCTTTTCAAGAAGAAGTCTAAGTGACTCAATGACTTGATGGAATTCCATTCAAGTGGCATCTGTGAACTCTATCTCCCACCCTCCACTCCGTTTTTATTTTAATTTTAGGAATGTAATTCCATTGGGGCTTTCCAGAGTTGATACTATAGTGGAAATGTCCGTAAGGGCAACTGTCTACTGTCTGCTGATTTAACAAACTATACCATCAATTCATCAAGTCAGACATTACTGAAGAGTCATCAAGAGGAGACAGTTTACAGTTATTTCCACCTATTTATTTCTGCATTGATGTTAGTGATGTATACACAGCATTCTGTTGAAAGCCGCTATGGACTTACAAGCTTTAATGGACTGTAAGCCAGCATGGGCTTGCAAAAATTTCTTGTTTACCAGAATATCTTCTTATCTTTCCACAGAGCTGTTTCCATCATGGACTAAATAACTTAAAAGAAGTAAAACTAATTGCACTACTGTTTTCCAGACTGGAAAAAAAAAATCTCTGCAAGTAAAACTGTATAGAGTTTATAAAATGACTGTGGATAGGGGACTGTTTTCACTTTTAGATCAAAATGGGTTTTTAAGTAGAAACTAGAGTTTCTAATTGACTTGCTTTCTGGAAATGAAAACCCACACTTTTGTTATGGGACGCTTCTTCAAATGCATTTATTATTATAAAGTTTCAAGTCCTGCTGTAAAGATCATGTTGTTTTGTTTTCCCCAGGGCTTTCACTGTGATTTACTGCACTGCAGGCTGTATGATAAAATATAAATAATGTAAAGGAGAAGGCTCTTGATTCCTTATACAAGTGGAAGAGTTAAAACTTGATCGAAGGACTTAAAACATTCACATGCTTAAACTGAGGCAAGGGTGGGGAGTCAGGCACTTGTTTACAGACTTTGAATAAATGCAAAGGATTTATGGTTTGAAAAATTTATACTGTGGAAACGATAATAAATTGGAGACATTATTATGTGGGATTGTGCTGATTTTTGTTGATAACACTCCAGTAAAAACACTGTTCTTTGAATAGCTATGTAAGCTGTCCTGTTGCTTAATTGCAGTATAATAGTGATGTTTTGGAATTAAGTTGTCAACAAATTTCTTTGTTTTATATTGTTTGTCATATTTTTATGTAGTTTGAAATGTTTAAATGTTCTAATATCAAGATTAACAAATATATATTTATGGTGCATTTAGATTGCGTTGTATCAGTTTGTAAAGTGTGAAAGACCAGCCTGAGAGCAGTGTCACATCGAACAACCGCACGTGAACATCTTCAGTTTCCTCTTTCTCAGCTCTTAGAACCTCACTCAGAATTATCTGGAAATGCAATGAGGATGTGTGCTTGGGTGAAATCTGATACGTGTTAACTAGAATGTTTTTGGCGGTGGCTAATATAATACCTAACTCAGTGCTGTATATATGGGGATGTTGGTAGATAAGTGAGGTGTTCTTTTGAGGAATGCTTTGTTAAGAAGCTGAATATCATGATCTCCCGTGGCTTGTGATTATTTCCATTGGTCCTGTTGGTAACATTGTCAGGGTCTTAGATGGTATCCACAGAGGCTGATGCTTACATGGTTACATATCTGCTCCTAGGAACAGAAGTTGGCTGTCTGCAATGAAGATACTTTGTGCAGATAAGGCAAGGTGATATGAAAGATGGAGTTCAGAAACAGCTCTGGAGCTCTACTGAAAGGGCTCAAAGAATTAGAAAGTTCTGGAAGCTCTCGGAGTGAATAGGATTGCTTTGTCTTTCTCTTGACTGGACAGAAGAAGTTCTCGTTGATAATTGCAGCAGAGATAAGAGCTTTTTGGTTTGTTGGATAGAAAAGGTCAAAGCTACTGGAGCATGGTGTGTTGTTAGAAGGCTTGTCCTGCAATATTGCTGATAGGACGTTCTAGGCCAGAACCTGGTAGAGACTTGGGGAGATTGGCCTGAGAATGTCAGCGGTTTTAGGAAAAGAGTACATCGTGCACACTGGATTACACATTTATAAACAGATCCGACCAAGGGATATTCACTGATGGATGTTGAGATATTTATTGCACTAATAACAGTATTTGGAAATTCCACAGAAAAGAATTTAGTTTTGGAAAACCACAGACATTTCTGTATTACATCACACATAAAATGTTGGGCATTTCTATAAATTTTATATACATTTGTCCCTTTAGCCTTTCAAAATTATGATGTTTTCCTGGTTTTTCCTTTTGGGAAAAAGAAAAAGATTACTGGTAGAGAAGGATGAAGAAGAAAACCACAGCATGCAGGTTAAATTCTGCTATCTGAATTGCTCTTAGTATTTGAGGTGCCTTCTGCTAGATACTTTTTAAAAATAGTTATATATTTTACATAGTTGAAATCATTTTTATATCATGCCTTTTCAATTTTAGCTCAAACATTTCTCCAATATTAAAAATTATTTGCAAATAACATTCTAATGACTAATAGTATGGCATTGTATGGATTTACTATCTTTTAAGAAATCCTGTCATTTAGTACTATAATATATAATATATTATTATTTAAAACACTGATCTGTCATTTAACATAATATATTTTATCATTAAAACAGCCTGCCAGTAAACATTAGACTGCTGCCAAATTTATTACCTGTAAAACATTTAAAACACTTGTTGAGTTTTCTCTATACCAGGCACTGTTTTAAACTGTAGTACATGGTCTAATTTTTATACCAACCTGTAAAATAACTACATTAGCAGCAGCAGCATTTAGTCACGGTTTCCCAAAGACTGGAAAGCCCAGAACATTAGTGGGTTGTTAAGGACATGCAGTTAGTGGTAGAGAGTACTGCTCTTAATGTCTAAATAATACTGTGTAAATTCTCATCAATACAGATTTCATATAGTGTACTTTAAGGACGTGTAAAGGAAAAACGTGAAGATATTTTAGTTTACATCTACATACATGTGCATATGTAGACTTGTCTCACATGTATTTGGGGGGTAACCTTTTTAAGGTTTCTTTGCCCTAGAGCCATGTTCACATCTTCTCCCCAAGATACTGAGTGTGAGTACCCTTTGACTACATTGATTTCTGAATTGCTATTTTGTTAAAGCTTCACTAATTTTGTAGGAAAAGAATGTCTAGAGAGAGCAGTTTTTACTGGTTTGTTAGCCTGTGTTTTTTATGTTAGTGAATTGCTGTTCATGCCTTCTTTCCTCATTAAGTTCTTAAGGATCTAGTGTTTTTCTAAATCTTCTGCACTGAGTCCTCCAAACATGGTTATCACAGCTATTGTTTTGTTTAACAATAGAGCTAAGTTTTTGTTTAATGTAGATATATTGTTATTTTAAAAGTACGTGAAAGAAAAAAAGCAAGTTTAAGTTTTAGTCTGGCTGATCTTCTCTTTAGAATCTTAACTTGGTTTCTATAGCCGAGGTGGATTTTCCCCTCAGTGCTATAAGCAAACAAGAATATGAAGACAACAATTGTTGAAATAGGAGCAGCAGGGCTGCGTCCCCAGCACCCCACTGCCCGCACGGCTAGCTTTACCTGAAATAATTACACGGAAACTGTATTCTTTTAAACACCGCTTGGCCCATTATATCTAGCCTTTTCTTGGCTAACTCTTGCACCTGGACTAGCCCATTTCTAATAATCTATGTAGCCCAAGAGCTGGCTTACCAGGAAAGATCTTAACCTACATCTGCCTGGAGTGGGAGAATCATGGCGACTCCTCAACTCAGCTTCTTTCTCCCAGCATTCTGTTCTGTTTACTCCTCCCACCTATGTTTTAACCTATGAAGGCCAAGCAGTTTCTTTATTGCTTAACCAATGAAATCAACAGATTGATATATGACACTCCCACATCACTTCCCCTTTTTCTGTTTAAACAAAAAAAGGAAGGCTTTAACTTTAACATAGCCAAATTACATATAGCAAAACAGTTATCAAGCAAGAATTACAGTTACAATATTTATATCTATTTTATCATTTATCATAACTAAGGAAAACTATAACTATCTATTCATTCTTCAACTCCATCAAAGACTCCAGAAGGATATAATACTACCTAAGTAAACAAGAAATAAGAAAACTCTAGAAATGACAGAGACATCTTGCTGCCTGTACAGTCACCCAAAGTTCTTTTGTACCGTTGGGGCATCCATCTTCAGCCTTCAGGCCCATAGTATCCAGCAGACATTTTCATCAAGCAGGAAATTCCAAAGACAGTTCAGTCACTTTCTGCTGTGTCCTGCAGAATGTCTCGCAGACGCTTTCAAGAATCAGGAACCCCGAAAGACCATCTCACCTTTAGGCAAGTTCAGCAGTCTTGTCTCTGCGGGTTCTCTTTGTCCAGTTTATGCAACAGTCCAGGCAAGAACAGTTTCTTGCCCAAATGGCTATCAAACTCCATAAGGATCCTCTTCGATGCCCATCTTCTTCTTGAAGTAGATTGGTGCTGCCAGGAGCAGAGTGTCTCATTGTCATGAAAAACCCTAAGTTATTAAAACATTAAATGCCATATTCTGCAGTCTTTGAAAGATATGAAGAATGTCTATCTAACTGAAATGTATCTCTATATATCTAGAAAATCTAATTAACATGACTACAAGCTTGACCATTACTAATGATTATCCATTAACCTATTTCTTAATTATACATTACATTTTTTAATGAACTACACAATCACAAAATCTTAATCAATAGCAGAAATATGCATATACATATAACAAAATTGACCTTAAATCTCTATCAATAAAGCAAAATCTATACTAATACAAATTATTCATATCTATATCATATCCCCCTTTAAATGTTAAAGAACGTTTATAAACCATATTTGGGAACATGGGCGCAGTTTTTTTCTCTCCAAACTGCTTCCTGCTGAATGGGGGCACTGTTAATCAGGTCATTTAGGGTGTAACCTGTGTGCCAGGTTTATCTCAGTTGGCAGTTGAGTGAAGTAATTTTTTGAGGGTGTTCACAGGAACTTTTCGGGAGGTTGTGGTCTATCATACCATATTGGGATAGATGCAATCCACAGGGTCTGGTCCTCTGTGAAAACAAAAGAAGACCCTCTCCAAAGCATCATATCCTTAGACCCAAATTTTGAAATCATAATACCCTTATATCCATTCTGGTTTAGCTTGGCAGCTCATGTAATGAAATGTCTCTCTGTACTTAGCTCCTTCACAGTCAAAAATTTTAAAGAAAACACAATGTATATAATTCAGACTCTCTGTGAATATTCCATTTTTACGTGGCTTATTTTTCTTTATTTCTTTTAATCTCTTAACTGTCTGTACTCTGTCTCTTTTAAAGACTTTACCTTTTTTTTAACCATTAACTTTATTCTCTATATTCTTTTTCTTTTCTCTCCCAAGCCTATGTACATTCATCCAACAGTGTGACTCATTTAGTGGTCTGAATCTGTCCTATTGTGAATCTGCAATTTTTTACTATCCAGAAGAACTTTTGATTTGCACCTTTAAATCACTAGGCACTTAAGAATCTAAGCTGTGACATTCCTAGGTCAAAAACAGGTACTGCCTGCTGGCCCCGCCCAGTCCAACATGGCGGAGCTGCTTGTGCCTCTGATCCTTGCACATTGCACCACTAGCATGGCGGAGCTGCTTGTGCCTCTGAGCTGCGTCATGCAATGTCCCCCTTTTAGGCACACAGCAGTCTAGTTGCCATCAAACAAATTGTAGCACATTACTTCAAATGCTCCATTCAAAAGCTCTGTCTCCTGCAGGATCCAGACAGAGATCGCGATGGTGGGACAGCCTAGAAAGCCGGCATTTTAAAACAGCCAGTTTTTTCCTGCTGCTGAGTCAGGAAAATTTCAGAATGGAGGACGTACCGTTTTGTGCTAGCTCTGGGGCCACCAGGTAGGAGCGGCACTCAGCAGTTTATTTCTGAGACTGAGCATGCAGCACAGAAATTCTTTTCATCCAAGTTACAGCCAAATCTGACATGCAGAGCACTGCACATTCTGAAAACACACCATGCCCTTCCGCCTGCCTAAGCCTGATTTGGCCTTCTGCCCAGGTGCAAGCAGGGAGCGCTGAGCCATCAGCATGGTCTCAGAGCACTCTCCTTCCTATCCCAAGCGGGAACACAAACATCCAGTCCCATAAAAGCCATTGAAATGCTTTAAAGCCAGAGTTCACGCTTTAAAATGACGCAGCTTTTTTTCTGCTGCTGTTGCTGAATCAGGAAATCTCTCTACGGCATGCCACCAACAAAGAGCAAAACTCTGTGTTAAACTCTGTTTTTTCTCTGTTTAAAATTAAGCTCTCTCAGGTTTTTAAGTGGATTTAGCCCCGCGTTGGGTGCCACTCTGTTGAAATAGGGGCGGGGTGTTGGGTGCTCCTTCATGTGCACAACATATATGCAGGAGGCAGAAATTATTGTCAGG